TCTTGGAGCTCGCTTCTGTTAGCAATGACATTGAGGCGGGCTTCCAATTCCTCGATTTTAGCCGACTGAGGATTTTGCTCATACTCCGTCTCTCTTCCTTCATCAGAGGAAGATTCCAGGTTGTGGGCTTCTTGGTCAGAAGCCGTGTCATCAACCATTTTTCCCTTCCCTTTGCTTGTGTGAGGTCGGGACGAAGACGTTCTTTCCCTTCGGGAAGATTCTTGCCTGAGTGGCGAATCTGTCTTCTGAGATTTGGCCTTGTCTGCGACGAGTTGAGTCAACAGGGCCAGGAGTTCATTGATGGCCTCTTGCTGAGATTTGAGCATGGCCTCCTGCTCATCAAGTCTCTTCGCGAGATCTTCATGGTTTCCCGTCATATAAGCGTAGCTCTCATGTTCAACAAAAGAGCTTGATGACTGGGACTCTGCAATGGCTGAGTGTTCATCATTGAAATTGGTTCCCCTGGCTAAACTCCGATAGTTGACAGGGGGAATGGCTCCTGTTCGGGTCCGAGTATGTTGATAAACTCCATCAGACTTATTCAGGAAGTCTTTCAAGCCAGGAGACTGATCGTTCTCTGACTCATCGGAACTAGGAACTGATGATCTCCCTCTGCCGATCATGTTAGAAGTGACTCTAAGGTATTCATCCTCAGAAGTCTTCTTCTTGTGTGAACGCCGTCGTTGGTTGGGTAAAGCAACGTTCGTAAATTGGTTGAACACCAGCAGTTGGGCCGCATATGAGCAGCATTGGCGTTCCGAGAGGACCGTAGGAATCAGTCGTTCACATTGAAATGAACGAATGACTTGTTGCATCGATCTTTCTCTCTATGTGAACTCTCTCGAATCTGTTATAAAGATTTGAGGAGTATTACTCACTGATTGTGAGGTTTGAACTGGAAGCCCCAGTCCATGATTGGACAGGACTGGCTCTTGGTGAATATGGATCTGGTTGAGATGCCTTGAATCCATAAACTTCTTATATCCGCCCCTCAACCTAGTCGCGCTACGCAGAGTATTCGGGGGTCTCGCTGCCCGATCAGCGAGCTGGGGGTCCAGGGGGCGGTGCGCCCCTATCCAGGGGGTCCGGGGGGATGGAATACCCCCCGACGGGGTTCGGGGCAGCGCCCCGAAGCTCCACGATATACACCAGGCGCGGTATTGGATTTGGAACTTGGGACGCGAGGGTCGCGTTTGGCACTTGATACGCGAAGGTCGCGTTTGGCACTTGAAACGCGAAGGTCGCGTTTGGCACGAAGATCGCGTTTGTCACTTGAAACACAAAGGTCGCGTTTGGTACTTGAAACGCGAGGGTCGCGTTTGGTACTTGAAACGCGAAGGCTCGCGTTGCTCAGTATCGACGCGAGGGTCATATTTTTGACTGGGAAACGCGAAGTTGAAGTTTCGCGTTCAACGAAGGCTTGAGTGTCGCGTTTGGCTGTAAAACGCGCCATTGAGGGCCGCGTTCAGTCTGGTTCTCGCGAAGCTCATGTTTGGGCTCATAAACGCGAAGTTCAGGGTCGCGTTAGGCTCACGAACGCGAAGTTCGCGTTTGGTTGGAGTCGCGATTTTCTTGAAGTTGTGCTCGTCGCGCTTGAGACCTTCTTCTTCGACGAACAGGTCTTCTTGGCCTGTTTCAAAGCCTTAGCAGCAGCATCGTTGACGTTTATAGAGCTCGTCTCTTTTATAGGCCGTTTAAGGCGTGTGGCACGTCGTCGTTGACGCGGAGGGTGGGATTTCAACTCGCTGTGCGAGTTCAGCAGAGGTCGAGCCCGCTCCTGGAGCGGAGAGGGCTGTTCGACGAGTTTTTGGCCAAAGGAGAGGACTTTCTTCGGCACTCCAGCAACAGTTGGAGATTTAGTCTCCTCGGAAACTTTGTGGATCTTGCGCATAGCCTTGGGGCTAAGGGATCCAGAGGAGATAGCCTTCTCAAACTTGGCTTGATCAAACTCTACCACGAGAGTTTCGACGATTGTTCCAGTGAGATGAACATCGGATTACGCCACCACTTCTTCATCAGAGAAGCTACTTCCCAGCGGAGTCGCCATCTTTTGTATGTAGGGGAAAATTGCAATGAAAAGAATAAAGAAAATTGATTTGTATTTCTTTGATTCCGATTACAACTTGATTACAAAAGAGAAGAGAACGAATTTGATTCTCTCCTTTGTTTAAAACTGGGTTCTTCACGGTGGCGATGGAATGCCTCCTTCGATTGCTCGCGTCGAAATTACTCTCCGTTGACGATCCGATGTTTTGCTTCACTGGAACGATATCTTCTCCTCACGATTCGACGCTGTGGAGAACTTGCGTGGCAAGTTTGAGAACTCTGAACGAGTTTAGAAGAACTCTGTAAAAGAGTTGATTTGAACCGAAGATCGGTTAATAAGCCAAGGCTAGAAGAAAGCTCTGGTGGTCGATCGTTGCTGAGGATGAACGTCGATCTCCCCCTTGCTGCCAATTCTCAGATCCGAAAAATCCAGCCAAAAAACCCAGCCTTTCGCTGCCAAGTCCCAGATCCGAAAATGCCAGCCTTGCTGCTAATTCTTCCGTTTCCAAAGCCCCCCGGAACTCAGTTGAGTTTATCCATATTTATAGGGAATTAAGGGGTGTGACCGCCCCCTTAATTCTCTCCATAATTGGGTGTAACCGCCCCCAAATCGTGGGAAACGGTTTTAGAACCGTTCAGCTCATGTTGAACGAGTCAAACAATGCCCACGTTGGCGTTCAGGATCCTAACTCCACATTTTAGACTGGAGACGCGGAGTTGGGTACCCGCAAGGCGTAGAAAAACGCAAGGGTCGACCTTGGCGTTTTTGAAGTTGTGACGCGGGGTTCGACCCTGGCGTTTTGATGTTGTAACGCGGGTTCGACCTTGGCGTTTTTGATGTTGTGACGCGGGGTTCGACCCTGGCGTTTTGATGTTGTAACGCGGGTTCGACCTTGGCGTTTTGATGTTGTAACGCGGGTTCGACCTTGGCGTTTTGATGTTGAAATACGGGGAGGACCTCCGCGTCTTGCCTTGCAGAGATTATCACCAAGTAATCTCTTTTTGTCATAGCGTTGCAAAGATCATTATCTTGTAACCTTCGCCTTGGCTCCTTGAAAATATGAGAGTCATCAGATTGTAACTCCTGATGTCGATTGTGAAGGCTGTTGAATTAGAGTTTTTATTAGTTGTCGTGAAGGTCGTCAGATTGTAACCTTCAGCAATCTACGCGAAAGTCTTCAGATTACAGCCTTCTGGAAGTCGTCAGATTGTAACTTCCATCATCGGTGGTTGATGGGGGATAAGCTATCTATTATGATTTTTTAGACAGCCTACAACCTCGTTCCTTGCAGAGCGCTTTACGCAACCCTTAAACCTTGCCTTAGACACCAACTAATCCAAGAAAACTTGAACCGGTTCACTTAAAGATTTCTTGTTCCTTTACTGTATATATGTATATGAAAAGTGACAAATACAGAAATTGTGTACAGTAGCAGCAAAATGAAACTCCTTTTTTTTAACAACTAATTTAGAGGCAAAATTAGTTAACAAATTAAAACAGTTAACTATAGGTTAGAAATACAGATTTAAAATTAACAACAAAATTATTCAATCTTCTAAATTACTATCAAAATAGGAATATAATAATAATATAAAATCCAAATTAAAGAGTTAGAAAATTCAGGTCTAATCTGGAGCAGTCGTGATATCACTGTCCTAGAAGATTAAGGACCCGCCTATCGTCCTAGCGCAATCTGTCCCCTCTCCCCTAACGGTAAAAACCCCGGAATCGACCGACCTCTGCGCTCGGGCGTGAGTCACAGAGCTTATGCTCAGACGAAAACGATTGTCCAAAAATATAAATGTAAAAGTGTAGCCGAAATAACTTAGGAGAAAAGAGAGTGAAGAAAGATAGCTTTGGAAGTTGTTCTTCTCGTTGTTGTGTCTCTGAATGAGGTCTACGGCTGCTTATATAGGTGAGGAGAAGTGTAACCCCTGCTGAATCAAAGGAACCGTTACGCACGAATCTCGCTTCCGTTACCCGCATGTAGCCATTACAAAACATGTAAAACGTGCAAAATAAAAGCTTGACAAGCAAAAAATGTGTGCGGTGCGGCGGGGCGTGGAGAACACGTGCGAGGCGAGGCGTGTGTGATAGATATGCAAAGCCCACAAAACCCAAAACACTATTCAAAGCCCAATAAGAAGAGAACCATTATATATCATATACTATTCATCCCCTTTTCCAATGTGGGACTATCCACACAGGGCCGGCCCAAGCTTTTTTGAGGCCCTGTGCGAAATGATAAAATGAGGTCCTCTTCTATATAAATGTTGAACTATAAATTTATTGAATTATATTTATTTTACAAAAGAAATAATACATAAAAATACAAAAATTACAAAAAACGATGTTTTCGTGCATTTTTTGATGCAAAATCGTCAATAATAGAATCTATATCTATCTTTTCCAACATTAGCATTATTGGTGTGTTTCCTAGTTAATTGGGAATAGTTAATTAGGAATTAATGAGTTCAAATTGAATTTCCTAAACTTTAGGAGACAAATGAGCAACTAATCATAATTGTAGTACTAATTGGTGTATATTTCCGGTAAAATGTAAATCAGATGGGTCATGAGTGTTAGGCAGTTAGGCTTAGGCAATGGACATAAATTATTATTTAATTTAGTGGGCTAGTATTAGATTATTAGGCCCTTTTTTAAACAAACAAAAGACTTATTGCAAAGAATTAAGAAATATACTATAGTCATTTTTAAAAATTTGGGGCCCCCTTTGAAATGGGGCCCTGTGCAGTCGCCCCCTACCCCCCCTCTTGGGCCGGGCCTGTTAATCCACAAAGGCAAATTTGTCTTTTCATGAACAAAACATCCAACACTATTTCCTCTAGCCAGCTGCATGCACGTTGAGGGAGCGAACAACAGTACACATAACCATTTATACAGCAGCAATTAGTTTGCTAACGAGAGCGAACATATGATCTTCACAACAACATAATAAAAAGAGTTTCAGTTTTTCAGTGTTTTTTGTTACACAGTTGCTGGTTCACAAAACTCACAAATCATAGTAAAAAGGTTAACTATGTAATAATCAAGTGACTTAATTTCTTCTTTAGCAACCGAATCCTCTTTCACTTTCGCTTTCTGATGAATATTTAGCACATCACCAATCGGAGTTTTAGAAGTTACAGCAGATCTAAGTAGATCAAGGGCCTGCACGAAAGTCAATAGTGTCAGAAACAACAACACAGTAAGAACAAAGGAGGACGGTCTACAAGAAACATGAAAATGTCAAGGAAGAACAGAGGACAGTCTACGAGAAACATGAAAATGTCGAGGAAACAATTACCAAGCTTCAAATATTTGAGGTTACACTAGTAGAAAAACTAGCAACCTAGACGGAACAACCTAGACGGAATATTTTTCCGTCTAGTTTGATTCAAAACTAGACGGAATGAATTCCGCGTCTAGTTTGTTCCGTCTAGGTTGACACAAACTAGACGGAATGTTCCGTCTAGTTTGTTAATCTAGACGGACAGATCAACCTAGACGGAAATTCCGTCTAGGTTTACTCAACCTGACGGAAATTTCCGTCTAGGTTGATAGGTCACCTAGACGCGAATTTCGTCTAGGTTGATCTGTCAACCTAGACGGAAAATTTCGTCTAGGTTGAGGCAACCTAGACGGAAATTCCGTCTAGGTTGCTAGGGCAAATTAAACCCTCTTCAGCGCGCCGCCCCGGCTCCCCCCAAATTCTAATTTTATTTTCCCCCACTTCCCCCACTTCCCCCCCCGAGCCCCTTGCGACCCCCCTCCCGACTGCCCCCCCCCGCCCGTCTCGCCCCCTCTCCCGACCCCCCTCCCGACCCCCTCCCCCCTTGGCACTCCCGACGGCCTCCGCCCCCTCCTCCGGCACCTCCCGCCACTCCCCTTCCGACCACCCCCCTTCCCCCCGCCCCCTTGGCAGCCCGCCCGCCTCCCCCCCCTTCCCCTTCCCCCCCCCTCCCACTCCCCCTTCCGAACCAGCCCCTCTTCGACACCCCCTTTCCCCCTCTCCCCTCCCCTCGGCAGCCCCCCCTTCCTCCTCCCCCTGGGTGCCCTCCTTCCTTCCTCTCCCTCCTCCCCCCTTCCGCACCACCCTCTACCGACCACCCCCCTTCTCCCCTCCCCTCCCCCCCCCCTCGGCAGCCCCCTCCCCATTCTCCCCTCCCCCTCCCGACCCACCCAACCCCAAGCCCCCTTTCCTCCCCCCCCTCGGCAGCCCCCTCCCATTCTCCCCGTCCCCGCTCCCGACCACCACCCACCCCCGAGCCCCTTTTCCCTCCCCCCCTCGGCAGCCCCTCCTCCTCCGGCACAGGTGTCCGCGTCTTTCATTTGCCTAAAAGGTAAGTTTTTTCTACCGAGCTTTAGAATTTTTTAAATTGATTATTATTTATTGTTGAATTTAGTTTAGAAACCCTAATTATATGATAAAAAAAATAAACGAGTTCAATTTCTGAAAACCCTAACTTAATTACATGTTAATTCATTTGAACAACACCAGTAATCATATTTTGTATAAACACTTATAACCGCTAACTCATTTAAGTTTCATTCGTGCCTAAAGTATGTGTGATTATTTAAGTTTGTGTATGTGAAAATATGTGAAATAATTTTTTGTAAAAAATAGAGTGATAATATAACACATTATAAATTTTATAATGTGTTATAATCCAATTTAGTGTGAATAAAAAAATAACGTTATCCCTAGACTTCTGTCCATAATTACATCAATTATTTGGACTTATAATATATGATATACGACTCAGATTTGGGTAGGAGACGAAGTTTTTCTCTCAAAAATGAGCGTTTATTTTATATTATAGGAATAAAAAATTGGTACTGAAATTCGTAATTATTGGATCTGTCCTTCTCGGACGGGTTAGGAATATAGTAGCTGCATACATCCAACTTGTATACTTTGTATATTTTCATTCTTGAAAGTTTTGCCCAGCACGTAGTCGTTGCTTCTCCGTTACAATAAGCGTATGTTGTTCTGCCTTACTTTGCGTTTCGCGGCTATTGCTGATACGCATAATAACATCCGCACAGTGTACAGGCGAGAACAGCGGGTAGGTGCTGCCGAAATTTCAAGAAATGCAAATATACAAAGTATATGAAGTTGGATGTAAGCACTTACTATATTCTAATGGATAGAAGCCTTCCTATGACAGCCGCATCAATTGGTGTAATTAGTTTCTACGTACGTTTCAAATATATTTTATGTAGAACTAAATATTAATTGTTAAATGATATATGAACGTATGTTAGATTTGTTTTGTATGTATAAGAGTCATGAATGTACTAGTAGTTGTGTGATTTGTCGTAGTTAATAATTATATATAATTTACAGATGAGGGTAATTCCTGACAAATCATGGATAGATAATCCCACGGCTTCATAGATTTCGTGACACGCGATACAAGGAGGGATGTTGAAGGCCTTTCATACGATATGCAGAAATGAATCCGAGAAAATTAGCAAGTGGTTGCTATGTATTGTCCTGTTGCATGTGTAGAATTTGAAATTGCTGAATAGTAATGATGTACGGATCCACCTAATGAATCAGGTTTTGGCATGAAAATATAAATATTGGAACGTGGCATGGGGAAGGTATCACTGAAGATGAGGATCCAAATGTGGCGTGTCGGTACGTTCCGGCTGGACAACGAATAGATGACACAGAAACAATGATTGAATTGATATTTTTTTCTCGACCTATAGAATTGGAGGGTGATGATATATGTCTGAGGATTGATATCGGGAGATAAAAGTAAGATGATATCCGATGCTTGTAAGCTGAAAAGTAGGAGATGATGGACATCTGCCGAAAATATTGATTGATATTGCATTCCTCCGCCTAGAATAGAATTGAATATTGCAAGCTACAGAAAGGTAGTTGAAAAGGACTTATATGAGGGTGTACCGAGGTTATCCAGATTTTCATTTTATGCTAAACTCCCTACACATTAGAGACACTAGCGGTATGACTCAGATAATTATTTTGAAATGCTTCTTTGATTTGCTTCGAACTGCTAATACCTGGGAGGAGTGAATAGCATAACCCCAAACAAATTATCAAGCGCAGGAAGATGTGTCGCTGCTCTTTGGGCGTCTAGATTATAATTAGATTGATGCATGTCCGAAAATGATTGCTATTTTGTACCACAAGGCCAATAAAGACCTTCAAGAATGTCCGACATGGTGGAGTTTCTAGGTGGAAACAAACGTACAAATACTTCAATAAGGATTACTAAACGGAGACAGCATGATAACACAGAAGAAAATTCCAAGCCGAAAGGTGCTTCGACATTTTCCATTAGCCTCCTAGATTGCGAAGTTGTACATGAACAAAGAAACGCCGCGAAAAATATTGAGGTGGCACAAAAATAACGCGCAAGATCGCAGTAGATGATGCGTGAAATTGCAGACATTCCTGCTGATCCGGGTAGCTTGGAAGCATCAGTTTGATAAAATTTATCCTCGATTTGCCGAAGCCATTGTAGGAAATGTAGACTGTGCGCTCTGTCAACGCTTGACGATTCAAATCCATTTGGAGGGCATAATTGAGCTCTGGTTGGTTCATACTTGGCCAGTCTGTACTAATGCCATATTAATTTACCTCCATTGCTTTGTATGGAAACAGCATTTATGATACTTTCATTACAATGATACTCGGTTAAACATGCACCTGGAAATGATATTTGATGTTTACTTAGAGCCTTAATTGATTGAGCTGAAACAACTATGGTCTGAGGGTTATTGTAACATATGATGCCCATTTAAAAGAAATTCGCTTTTAAGATTACGTGCTCTGATTTCTAGTTATGGACGATTAATGATTTTCCAGCCTATGCTAATCTGTCTGAGGTATTCCACAAAGGAAAGTGTGCTTGTCCTATATGTGGTCCGGAATTTGAAGCTTCTTTCAATACCACTAGCCGAAAGAGTTTGTTATTGTTTAATCGTAAGGGTGGTTGCCCTTGAGTCATAAGTTACCAGGAGTTATCAGGTATGTTGATGCGCACAGTTGAAGAGAATGAAGCCGCGTCAGCTGACAGGTAATGCAGATTGTAACAATTACTGCAGGGGTTTCAAAAGTTCCGCTGTTGGAAAAATCGATATTCTAAATTTAGCCCGCTTCAGAGTAAGGATTATTTAAGTCAAAAAGGCCACTGAAGCCGTAGCGAAAAGGTCCGCGGAAAATGCAAGTTGAGGAAGAAGACCAAAAATTTACCTAGAGGATGCGACTAAATTTAGTATCTTCTTTCTAGCTACCTATTGGCAAAATCTTAAAATCCCCACAACTTAGATGTCATGCTATATTGAGAAAAATATATGTTGATAACATCAGTATAAACTCTCCTACAAGATGCAAACAAGTCGAAGGATGATCTACTTCATGGCTGCGCGCCAAGAATCTCGACTGCTTTTGAATATCGAAATTGATTTGCCAAGCTCATAGATGTTTGCCGACTTAAAAAAATTAAAGTTGCCTCCGTTCTCGTGTTACTACTGACACAAATGAGCAGAATGCAACGATTTTGTTGAAATTCTTAAATCAGTAAGTCTCCGTATGGTTAACTCTGCTAACATTTCAATAATGTCCAAGTGCAAGGAGCGAAAACTCTATAGCGTCTGGAAGACCCATGATTTAGTTCACGCTTCTTCTCCATCAATGCTTCCTGTATGCCCATTAGTTAACAATATGGATAAAGAAGGTCGAAGTTATTTATTTGAGTATTGTGGGTTTTTCAGAAAAATTATGCTCTAGAAGTCATTAGATGTAGATGATTTAAAAAACTTGAAGCTGAGGTGCCGAGTTACACTTTTCTTTTTTATATGCAATTATTGGAGTTAATATTCCCTCCTTCTTTTTTTCACGGCTATGGTCCATCTTACCCAGCATCTTGCCTAGAGAGGCTAGAATCGGCCGCGCGACCTTGCTTACTTATCGGTTGGATGTATCCATTTGAGAGCGGTAAATATATATTTGCATTCATTACTTGCTATAATTGCGTTTTTGGAAAATTACCGTGGCTAATAATTAGTTATTTTGATTCTAGATACTTGGGACTCCATGAAACATAATTTCGCAATCGAGCCTGTCCAGGAAGGCTCTATAGCTGAAGGATACGTGTACGGCAAATTGAATTGCTTTAATTATTGCACTC